AAGCTTTAATTCCATGTCCACCCCAAGACATTTACTTTGTCTCACTGAGCTACCCTGAAATTAGGTGAGCTCAGAATAACTCTAAAATCTAGGACGGGGAAAGACAACGGCTGGACAGGGTTTTAGTTAAGTTTCCATGGTATAAAATGCTTTATTTGGTGCACAATTCATAATTTAAAAACATTTTCAAATATTTCATAGGTTAGTAAGTTACAAGTGTCTCTATCTACAACGACTTTTAGAAAGCAAAGACGTAATATAACTTCACCAACTTTTACAGATTACCATTTGCCCAGCATGTGTGATCTCTATGACACATGCTGGGCATGTGTCACATGCCCAGCATGTGACAAGCAAATACTCACAACACACAGAATTCCCACCAACTTAAACAGAAATTACATTGGTCTCACTCTGAATTTACACAGGCTTAAATAGAAAGGAGAAGGTTCTTCCGGCACGTGCATTTAACATTGCCAGTAGTCTTTGGCCTAATGGCTCCCAAGATAGATCCATGAGATCCTCCAGCCTTGCTCATGACCACAGGAAATTACTGCTTCTGCCATCCCACTTGACCCAGAGGGCAAACAATGTCCAGAAGTGCATAGCTTTTTCAGTATTGGCCAAAGATTGGCAACAGTTGCCTTAGTACATTTATGTGAAAGAGATTTAACAAAGCTGGTTTTTAGCAAATTTCTAGATATAAGCAAAGAATTATGTCTAAGCCTTCTTCTGCCAACAGCATACAGAAATACACTGTTAGAAAGGTACAAGCAAAGATCAGGAATAAGGAGTTTTGAATTAAGTTCCCAACTACCATATAGAGCACAGTAAATATTTGACTTCTTGGTTTCAGACTCTGTGCTCACCTGAATCATATATTCCTTTTTTTTTATATTTCCCCTTAAAGCCTCTGGCAGACACAAGACATCAGGCTAGAAAGCCCTTTGAGTGATGCAGAAGAGGCATTTAATGTTCCTTGGCATACTTGTTTTTATAAATAGTTGTATTTCCACAGCAGGCAAGGTGCTTTAAGTATTACTCAAATGTTTCCAGTGGGAGAACAGACACGGTAGATCTACCTCCACATCTGATACCTCAAGCTAAGTCAGACGTTCAAGTTGGATGCTATACTCCAAGGCCCTGAACTACCTACCATTCAGTACAAGTCGCCTCCATTCCAGAACAGGGCCAAGGCTTACAACCACGTTTGGCATATTCAATTAATACTTGTAAATCTCTTTGATGTTCTACTAAGAAAATGTTTCTTTTTCTATGTTCCTCTTCTGCACCCAATGATGGTATCGCAATCTCAAATTGCAATTATTTTTGTAAAGTCTCCTGTCCTTCCCCTACACTTCGAGAACATAGTTACTCATACAAGCAACCTTCCTGTATTTACATGGGAACAAGAGAAATTCATTTTTTGAATAAGAAATAAAAAACAGAGAACTCATTTGCAAAGCTCCAGTGCCCTAGAGAACATATGCATCACAGTCCAATATAAGGAAGCAGGTGACACATTAATTTCTACTCCCACACAAAGCAACAGTTAACACCATAATATAAACTACAAACATGAAGAAAGGAACAGTTAGTACTATAATATAATCTATGAACAAGAAGAGGACTCTGTCATGTTCAAATGCTTGATCAGGAACTATATTTTCTCTTAAGATCTGACTTGATCTTAAGATCTGCACCTGGGGAGGAATAACCCCAGGCACCAGTACATGCTGGGTGCCAACAATCAGAAAAGCAGCTTTGCAGAAAAGGACCTCGGGGTCCTTGGGGACACAAAGTTTACAAAGCCAGCAGTGTGCCCTGTGGCTAAAAAAGGCTAATCGAGTCCTGGGCTGCACTAGGAAGAGTGTCGCCAGCAAGTCGAGGGAGGTGATCCTTGCACTCTACTCAGCACTGGTGAGGCCACACCTGGAATGGTGGGTCCAGTTCTGGACTTCCCAGTACAACAGACATACTGGAAAGGCATGAAGATGGCTACAGGACTAGAGCATCTCTCTTATAAGAAAAGGCTGAGAGAGCTGGGGCTGTTCAGCCTGGAGAAGAGAAGGCTCAAAGGGATCTTATCAACGCATATAAATACCTGATGGGAGGGTATAAAGACAACAGAGCCTTATGTATTAATCACTTGTTCCTATCTACGCCTTCTCATTCTTCCTGAAGTTTGGACTGACCTATTTGACATTGTCCATCAGCTGAACTCTCCTCTGTTTTCTGAAAAACACTTCTTCCAAAGTGACTTGAAACAATAACATGCACAAACCCCTTCTTGGTTTCACTTTGTATTTCTTGCTATTTCACAGGACAGCAATGCTTTGATGACAATACTATATAGAACAACATTGATGAAGCAAAAAGTTTCCATCAGAAATTCTAAAAAAATCTTTACTAGAAACAATGTTATGATTTTAGTTTATCACATTTAATGGTAAGATGACTAACAGGACTAGTGTACAGCACTTAAAAGAAACTAGGTTATTAACTAGATTGTTTAATTGGTCTAACAGCAAGCAACGTTTTCTCCGTATGAGAATAGACAAGGCTTTTGGAGGAGTCATCATTCAGCATTGGAAAGCTTTTTGACTTCAGAACAGCTGAATTGTTCTGCTTGAATAAAGACAAGGATATTAATGTCTGAATTGATTATAATAATTACAATTCAACACAGAATCTCTCTCCTGTTTCAACTTTGCATTTTTAAAGTTCACTCTAGATTTTTTTTTTTTTAAGTGAGTGACAGTGCAACTTTCATGCACCTAACTATTTAAAAAAAAAGGCAACAAACAAAATGGAGCACAGCATACATTAGGGCTTCCCCAACATCTGTGGCTTAAGTGACAAAAGTAAAACTTTTGTCATTTTGGGGAGGTCTTTTGGTTGGTAACTACTCTTCAGAAGTTTTAGACATTAACAGCAAAAACTTGACTTAATTTAGCAAGTCATCTTCTTGCTGGAGTATTCATGCATCTTCTTGGATAAGACACAATTGTACATCCATCCCATTGTACAAAATGTTGGCACAGTGCCATTACTCGAGACAAAGCACATCAGAGTAGGCTTGGTAAGCCCCTGAAAGACTTCAAACATATCTTTGCTGAACAAGATTGATCAATAAAATTATTTTAGACCACACAATTGTTGCCATGTATATTAAAAAGTTAACTTTGTTTCAAGATCATTTCAAGCCATAAAACATAGTGGGTAACTCAGGGCAATCTTTCTGACAGCGGTTATGCAGTTCCACCAGTTAAAACAAAGGACTGAAGTAGCCAAAGGAATTTATTTGCTGATAATACTCAAATCAAGGTTTCACTACACACATACATAGGTTTATGATCAAATAATAATCTAAATCATGATACACTATTTGCTCTCAGCCTACAAGGTCAAAATTTAGAAGTTATTTATTCTGTGGCCTGTGGGAAAACACAGCAGTAACAGTAAATGACTTTTGAATCAATGACAAACACCTGTTTTGATAACAAACCAGTCTGAGTTAAATTACACTTGGAATTGGACAAACACAGACACCTCTCTCTCCCTCTCTTTTTTTTTTCCCAGTTATATGAATATACCTCAATGTTCCCTTAGGCACCTTTCTAGGTTTAATTACATAAATGAGTGAAGTTGCAAAAAAAAAAAAGTACTGAAAGCTGTTAAGTTCTCAGAATCTTAAGCTTAACTTTGAATATCCTAAATATTAGAAATATTTTTTGTAGTTAAATCTACAATACCCATGAATTTTGCCTCTCTGCAATACAAAAAGAAATCTTTACTGGCAGACTGGCTTTAGTCACAATACTGTGAATTAGGAATTGAGTCTGAATTCACTCACAAAACAAATTCTTTTCTCCTACGTAAATACTTCTGACATTCCTACTGCAGTAATGGGAAGTGCCTTTTTTCTCTCCACATACTAAACTTAAGTTATACAGCACATAGCTCTAAACGGCAGGCTGTAGATTTCATACATGAACAGTATACCCCATTTAGTAAAAAAAAATGCAAACATTCACAGCAATTGTATTTACTGCTAGCCATATCATTACAAGAAAAGTTTAGTCTACTTGGAATTAAAATTTAATGAAGAGCAAACCCACAACTACAGCTCATTAGAGACATCCTACATTAGCACAAATTACAGTAGAGCATAAAAGCATAATCAGAGGTTCTTTCACTTCTTGATAAAGGATGATTTTATATATTATCTTTTGTTTACTTTAAATCTAAGCAGAACAACATAAATTTAGTGGAAACTAAAACAGGATCAGTTAAAGCGTATTACTAAAAAGAAATCTAAAACAGTGTAGAAACAAGAAAAAAATGGTAGTACAAGAAAAGCAGAGTATTACAATTATCCCTCAATCCCAGATTAGCAACAACGGTACATCAGACACTTGCAAAGTTCTCTACAGCCTCAACTTTACAGTCCTTTCTCCTGTGACCACTAAATTGTTGCTGTTTACTTTCAGCCAAGTTTCTAATTCTGGAAAAATCTCATACATGCAATGGTAATGTAATAATACAAGACTCCAAGCTAAAGCAAGATTTAAAGCGTGCTCCAAACAGAGGTAATGAGCTCTGACTATTTAAAGTAATGTCATAACCTCAAATCGAGGTTTACTAAGACTTTCGGGCATAAGATGTGTTCCACACTCACGTCCCTACAAGACACATAATCACTGTTAGCTTTGAGCTATTCATTAGAGGCTATGAGGTTTTGAAGACCAGCAACAGCAGGCTAGAAATGGATGCTTGAACTTGGAACCTCGCGCAGATATCTACGTGTAATGGACACCACCACCACCCAAGAAAGAAATGCCTCCTACTCTGTGAATTAGCCCTATGTAACCATAATTTTCAGCCAAGTATATTAAGGTAACTTAATTCCAAGTTGCTCTTCAGCTTCAAAGGAGGAAATTCTTATGAGGCCAAGTACGTATAGATCTATAAAACACTTCCTGCGAGTGTTGTAATGAGAAGTGATCTAAACTACAAAAAGCAATAGCAAATAGTCCACAATTTCATTCTCTGCCAAAGGCATCCTTACACCTCCTTTGAAGTTCCAGTGAAAGTTAAACTTTAACTCTCCCCAGAATAAGGAACACTACACGACCTGGCATAAAAGGCTGTGGTGCCATGAACAGTCCAGTACCTGGACCCACAAATGACTGGATGGCTCAGCAAGAGTCATCTGATCCATAGCCTGATCACGTTTCTCTGTCAAATCACCAAAAACAAAATATCACGCCTATGCCAGTTTTGCGATTCTATGCCGGCTTTGTATCATGCTGCTGTGAAACCCTCCCGCCAATCTCGCGTTAAAAGCCCTAGAAACAAGCCCCAGTATACCACAGCACCATGACCTAAGTTATCTTGAACAAGGCCATCTACAGACATGGGTTTGGTTCTTACCCTCCAAAATGTCTTCATAAAGTGCATGCACTCCTTCTGGCACAATGACAGCCAAGGCAGTTCCACACAGCAGCCCAGCACCCAGAACAGTCACCAACTTTAATCTCTCCTGCAAGCAAGTACAAAACAAGTATCATCTTTAAGAATGAAAATGCTTTCTTTACTCTCCCTCATTAACAGAGGTTGGGGCAGGGGGAAGGGGGCAGGGGAGCGAGTGATGAACAAAACCTCTTGCTGATTTTTATTCAAGAGCCCCAGTTGCGTAGTCCTATATTGCTAATGATTAACTTCCTGAAAAGCGAACATAGCCAGTGTACGATGCAATCAACTTAAGTAGGAAAATGAAAGTTAAAGATGACCCATTTGACTGTTAACATCAGACAAGAAATGCAAGGTAGTGTACTTGAAAATAGCAAGAATTGCTGTATTTGGCACTAATGATTATTGGGGTCCAATTCACCCTCTAGGGCCTCAAACTGTATGGCCTGCAGAGACAAAGACAGACTGAAAATGCCTGAATCTTGAAGCATGTTTGCAACGCTACGTTTTATCTCCATTCTGGGTTTGTTTTCAAATATATCCTTCCTACTGGAAATCATACTTAAACATGCAAGTTCCCTAAAATCTCTGCTAGGTGTGGCATAGTGCAAGATAAATTGCACTATTCCCCAAAAAAGCCAATCCAAATAACAAAGGAAGATACAAGAAAGAAAACTAAATTACCAAAGCAAAAACAGAAAGACAAGAGAACCAATAATGTAAATGCATCTACAGATACAAATACATTGGTCAAGTATGAGTAGAAGCTGCCAAGTCAGCTATATTTATATAACACAGAAAAGGGCTAAGAAAAGTTTTAGGAATACAGAAAGAGAAAAGGAAGATTTTAGAGAAAAAAGCAGCAGGAGCTGTACTTTCATCTACAGGTTTAGAGACACAAGGAATGAAGTTAAGCTGTTGTAAGACTGTTACAACAGAGAACTATACAAGATGAACTATATTTCAGTCTAAAACAAACAGCCACTCCTGTGCAGAAGCTTGTCCTTAAAACTGCCATACCTTAACAGTCTTCTATTTAATAGGGTATCACTGAAGAACAAACTTTCTTTAAAAACATAAAACTGTGGAGAAAAAAGTAATCTAAGAGAAAACGTCTTTTTTTGTACTTGAAAGATATGATGATGTGTTCCATGTATTAAAAAAAAAAAAAAGGTGCCAGGTGAAGTTTTAGAACTACGGTATCACAGCACCTGCAGAATGTCAGGTAGCTACAAAATACGGCAGAAGGGACTGAATCCCCAAAATAGGTCCAAAATCAGAACTATAAAAAATAGTTTTAAAAGGCTTACTCAAATTAGAGTTCGAATGAGGGAACTGCACCAGTCAAACTGATAAGGGTGCTAATATACATTTTATGTCAGTCTTTTTTTCTTTTTTATCTGCTCAGGAGATGCACAAATGCAGAACAGTGCTTATTGTTTTTACAACCATTTCTAAGCCTTCCAGTAACATTTTGAAAGGAGTTAAAGACCGTAAAGGCATTTAGGGCAATATAAAATGATATTCCACTCTCCAGGTAATTACAGACCATGGCACTCCCCTTTCTTCTCTGCAAAGATAGGGTTTAAAATAGATTTGTTGGGTAAGTATTGCAAATTTGCAATTAAACTTTAATAAAAAATACATAAACTTAATGTTTTTATAGTAAAGAAAAATAGTGTAGTTAGACAAGTTTCTCCAAGACTCAAAGACACACACAAAGAGTTTGTATTTGCTACTATTAGTAAGGGTTATCTTCCTAGTTACATTCTAATATTGGGCAAAAAGGTGAGAGAGCTATCACCCCTCCCAAACTGACTAAATTCTGTTTTACCAACATAAGAACAGTTTACTATTACTTTTTGCTTCCTTGTGACTACAACATTGACAACCTCAAGTCAAAGTCACGTACTGAAAACCCAGTTACATAAACATCTAATAGACTCTAAAATACGACAACTTGCAGAGTCTGTTTCTCACCATTTCTGTAAGAGCCCTTATATCGCCTGTAGCAACCACGGGAGTTTAGATCCTCGTAACAACTGTGTAGCATATATTTTGTGGCAGAACCGTCATCATCTTCCATGCACAAAGAGATGTCTAGGTGCTACCAAAATACCAATGTTAACTACTGAGGACCTGGAGACAAGAGGTCAGTGTTTGAGTAACGGGAAAACATTTGTTGGTATCCTTATAATGCCATCTGTTCTCCTTCATGCACCATAGTGACACAAGTTGTTTAATCTCACCGAAATAGGCAACACTTGCACAGAAGAAATAGGAGGCTCTAGAGAAATGCACAGCTAGTTTTCTGAAAGCAAGCCAAATGTGACCAGAAGGAAGCAATTAGAGCATTACTGGGGAAAATTAAAATAGTAATATGCAACAGATAAAAACACCTGTAAAGTTTCCACAAACATGCCCTGTACGCTGGCATATATAACAATTATACTTGGTAAATTGTTATACAGTGGCAATCTACATGAAAAGATAATCTTCAACACCCACTGTTCATAAAATTGTTTTGCAAAAATATAGTATCTTGCAAGGAAAAACAAGATTATTTTTATACTGCAGCACTATAATCTTTTACATACATATATAAACACAGGGAAAAAAGGTGTCAGAAGTAATACTGTTTTATTACAACTGCAAATACAGAGTACTGCTTGCTTTCATTTGGGCATCTGTGAATTTTAAAGATCCATGAAAATAATACAGACTAACAAGTTACTGTTTCAAGAGAAGTTTCTATCTCCTTTTACACTACAAAATATTTAGACACAGTGAATACAGCAATCTAATAATTGCAGTCTACTCAGACAGGGAAAAGTCACCTAGTTTGATCCAAGAAATCAAACCATTTCAGTTGCAAACACACTTATGTGTCTCTTGTTAAAAACAGTAGCAACACAGTAAATAGCATTAAAAAAATGCATGGGAAAAATCTTAAATTCCTCAAATTAGCAAGCTGTTCCACAGCTCAGTACTTGGTTTAAATCTGCATGGTATTGAAACACTTACTTGGACCTAGCAAAAACTCACACCTACTTTCAGCAGCAAGCAGTCCCAGCCCAGTCAACACTGCCCGCCTCTGTGACGCCAGCAAAAGATTCAAACTGCTAGAACTCGATTTTATTTTATTTTTTGCATTTAGGCTACAACTTAGGAGATAGCCTCAAGAACTGGTATAGCGTTGTTTCCAGCCCAAAGTTAGCCCAACAGAGTACTGTAAGTTAGGATTAAGCTGAAAGGGTACATACGCATACAGAAATAAAGTGAAGCCCTGTTCAGTCTGTACCTTTTTACCACCAATGTTTAGTCATACCGTGCTTCGCTGGAGTTTTATACTTTCAAGAATATCCAAATCTAATTAAAAGAAGAGAAACTAGCATGAAATCAGAACAGAACCAATAGGTTCCACGGCAAAAAACTCATCTGAGGAAATGTATTAACACTAATGAATAATTTTATTGTTCTCAAGCATCTGGGGTATGTTATGTAAAGCATTAATTTTTGTTTTCTAACCATTATAAGTGGCCAGTGGGAGGAGGCATTTTTCCCCTCACTAAGGCCATCTGCAAAACTCTTTGCAAACCACAGAATGCACAGTCCAAACAGTCATTTCAGTTTCAAATTCTCCATGTTGCACAGGCCTAAGCAATCATTTTAAACAAAACAATTCTAACTTCTAATTAGACACTTCCAGGATTAGTTAGTATTTGCAGATAATTGGCAGAGAGATTCAGCTCCTCTTTTAAACCAGCACAGCATGCGCATCCTTAAACTATCCTATTTAAGACAAGTGTAAAACTGAATCAAGAATTTCTGAGAGTTTAAGATACCACAGTAAACTTGATTGCACATGTGTGTACTGTTGGCAAAATACTGCACACACAAAAGGCTAATAAATAGGTGATTACTGCTTATGCAGAGTGCTATGTTTTTGGATTCACAACAGATCTATACTCCTGTTTGGAGTCCCAAATGATTTAGGAGCCCCCTGGTTCAACTATATAAATAAGCCACAAAAACACAGATCAAGAACTCTACCTCCAAACACCACCAAGTATAAAGTCAGAGACAGCAGGTAACTATCAAGCACATACATGAGGAAATGCAGAATTAAATACCAAAAGAGACAATATTAGCATGCTAGGCAGTGTTCTCATCAAATTTGCAAGAACATCCTTTGTAGACTTCAGGGCAAAAGCGAGTTTTGAGAGGCGAGACAGTGGAAGCAACAGCGTTGAAGTAATATAAGGGAAGGTCCATCAAAACATCATACGAAGCACTGGCAAAACAGAACTATGCTAATGTTTATGTAAAGACTTCAGAATATATTCTCATGTTTCAATCTATTTGGCTGAATTGTACTATTACCAAAACGAACAGCCTTTCCTTCCATGCTGTTCAGAGTCTACTGCTCCCAAAGTCTCCTAGTAATAACAGGACCAAAGGACAGGTGCAACCAGCTCTGTGACTTGGCAGAAGAACAAGTCACATCTGCCGTCCAGAGCTTCACTTTCCAAAAGCAGCACTGCTCCCAGTAGAAACGGGAAACCTCTCCTAAAAGAGCTCTTACTACCTCTTAACAACTAAACTCTCACTACACCACACCTGTATACAACTGTCATCACTTAGAAAGGTAAAAACCCCTCAGGCATCAGAGGATATTAGGAGACTTTCAGAGACCGTAAAAATCATAATCCCCTCAACAATCATCTCTTAGAAGCACCAAATACATTCACTTCTGAACTCCTGTACTGCTTGGAAACTCATTCAATCCACAAAAGTCTCCCTTTCCTTTAACAACACCTTATGTATCCAAGATATTTTTCCAAAAGAATGCCTCGAGTTCCATGGGATAGAAGCACAACTTGAAATTGTGTTGTAATCAAAGTGATAGAGTTTAACTTTTCAGCAGTGCAAGCTGCAAACAACATTGTGAACCAAAACAAAGTTTTCTGAGAAAGTTCTCTGAATTGTTTTTAGAAGCCCTAATTTGAGACATAATAAAAGTTTAGACACATAATAAGAGTTACCCTCTGACTTCAGAGATTTCTGACACAAGCTTCTAAGAATAACTATGTCTAGCTGCTATCACATCCTTCCACTACATGCTGCCACTTTGCTTCATCTGTAGCCGAGATGCTCGGAGCAAGTTTGGGACACTTAAATGGCTTTTATACACATTGTAGAATAAGCATGATTTAACATTGTAAATTTGAATTAAAGTTAATATCGCCTTCACAACTTCCTTAAAATCTTGCAAAGTTACACCACCCCTAACGGCACTGCCGTACTTGAAAGGGGACAGCACTAACCCCTTCTGGTAGATCTCTCCATCTAGGTTCTGCTATTCTCCCTTAGCAACCAACGAGCAGTTTGGCGAAGCTGGCTTACCTCGGAAAAATTAACTGCCAAGGGGATAATTCCTGCCACATAGCAGGCGACCAGCATGGCCAGAGACAGCAGGCAGATGGAGCGGAAGTCATCCATTTCGCTGCTTTCTGTCCGGTCCCTTAAAGTGAAATTCAACAGCAACCTTTCCACCTCGCCCCGCACTCCTTAACCCGTGCAGACACCGAGCTCCCAGGAAAGGCTTTCAGCCATGACTGTCTTGCCCGGCGGCTCCGGA